AAAAACTCAAATTTTTTGCATTTTTAGACAGCTGGAACCGAAATTTCATCTGCACTGAGGGGGGAGTTTTTTTTCGATTGGGAAAAAAGTATTATTATTTGAAGTTAATACAAGTAAAAGTTCATCTTTTGCCGCTATGTCATTTCCAAAAATATGAAATATGTTTTTTAGTCATACCTAGTGCAGGCCTTAGCCTTTTTGCCGCCCTCGTGCGAAATTTGTCCTGCCGCCCCTGAAAATTTTATAAACGTGCTGGTAAATTACATGGAAAATAATAACAAATAGAATTCAAAAATAATACTTTGCAATAAAACGCATACAAAGAAACATTTTTTGTTTATGTTTTACACAAAATACATTTAATTTTTTAAATTAATCTTACGAGCCTTCTTATCACCAAAATCTTTGATTATGGTTGAAAAATCAAGATTTTCAGCAATATTCTTTTCAATCGATAGGGTTCCTAAACTTGAAAGTCTATCCTGCGACATTGTTGACCGCAGATAGGTTTTTATTAGTTTCATTTTGGAAAAGCTTCTTTCTCCACTCGCTACAGTGACAGGTATTGTTAGCAAAATTCGCATTGCAATCCATGTGTTTGGATACAAATCTTGCATTTTGTGCTGTTTTATAATGTTTAAAACAATAATAGGAGTAATTTTATCCTTGAACATTTCAGAAAGAAAAGGTTTAATGCTCATCAGTTCATCGCAAAGGAGAATACCATTAATGTCCGATTTTAGATTTACGGTAAGTTTACTTTGAAGAGCTAAACATGATTTTAGAATTTCTTCTCTTTTTTGCAAACTATCGACATTATACAAAAAACCCCTAACTTCGGAATAATTCTCCAACTGTATAAATCTTTCTCTCATTGAAATTAAAGATGTGTCTTTAATTTCAATGAGAGAAAGAGGATTGAAGAAATCGATTTCTAATTTTTTTTCAGGAGAAAATAAATAAATCCCATCTTGGGCTGGTTCGTCAAAATGGCGTTTACTCGTATTATTCTTTTAAGTGGTTTAAAAACAGGCTCCACTTGTAATTCTATAGCCAAATCCTTTGCTTTTATAATTGCATCTTTAAAACCACATTTTCTATAGTTTTCTAAAAATGAACAACAGCTTTTCAATAACTTTGCACATTGAGTGATGTCCATGTCTTTTTCTTGAAGAGTTTTACTAACAATATTGACTTGAAAAAGAACGTCATACCAGACAATTAAAGAGACAAGAAAGCTAAAATCTTTTAATTGCTCTCCTAGAGTTATCGCTTCATGTGCAGTTTCAGGATTACATCCTTCAATTTCTGACAATGCTATCAAAGCGTCATGTACATCACCAACTTGATAACGAACGGCTTTAACACTACTTATTTTTGCTTCCCACCGCGTGTCAAAGAGTTTCTTTAAATGCAAAATTTTAACATGATCAATTAAAATTTTCCATCGGCTCACTGAAGCTGAGAATAGAGTAAACAATCTCTGAAGAATACCGAAAACAGCTATAGATTTTACTGAAGACCGTGCAGAGTCACTTATTACCAAATTTAAGCTATGGTTGCCGCAAGGAACATATAATGCTAAAGGATTAAGATTTAAAATCCTTTTTTGTACACAATTAATCTTTCTTTTCATATTTGATCCATTATCATACCCTTGACCTCTGCAGTTAGAGATTTCAAGTCCATGCTTAGTTAGCAACTCGATTAAAACCTCAGTAAGTCCTAAGCCTGTAGAATCAGAAACAGAAAAGAATCCTAAAAAGTACTCTTTAATTTCCACTCTAATGTCTAATGACAAGTCAACAATTCCAATAGTAAGAGAAAGTTGTTCTTTTCTAGAAATATCAGGTGTACAATCAGCAATGATTGAATAGTAAATGGCTTTCAAGCTTTGGTTTATTATTTCATCATTAACCTTTTGAGACATTAAATCTATTAACTCATTTTGAATATTTTTCCCGCAATAATGGTCTGAAGTGTCACCTTTTATTGCAAGTGCTAAATGCTTTTGCATCACAGGATCAAATTTTGCAAGCATCTGTATTAGTCCTAAGAATTTGCCGTTTTGAGGCGTAAACAGTTTATCCGAACTCCCTCGAAAAGCCATATTATTTTCAGTTAGGTAAAGAGTGATATTCATCAGCCGAAGAAGAACATTTTGCCATCGCAAACTGTCTTTTTCTATAATTTTAATTTCTTCATTATCTATAGTTTTTCCAGTTTTTAATCTTATTTCAGTTTCTACCCACTGTTGATAACATTTCATATGAGAGACGCTGTTTTCATGAATTCCCAATGTTTCAGTTAAATGTCTCCATTTCTTGAAACCATCAGAGACTAAGTTTGACTTTGAATTATTATCAAAAAGTAGCCAGCAAAAACAAAATACGGAATTTTTAGAATCTGAATAAACCAACTATCTCCGGCAAAAGGTTTCTCCATTCGCAAGCTTTCTATTGTAGTAAATGCTAGAAAAATGTCGACCATTTCTATCTTCAGGGTATTTTTCCTTTGTAATTTGAAAAGGACCAAGTTTGATTAAATGGTCCACAAAGTTGCTAGATCGAACAATTGGCCAATTTCCACAATCCAACAAATTAGGTGTTTCTTGTAAAAAATCTTCCGATAAATCATTCGATTCTTTTAAAATAACTGGTTCATTATCTACTTCAATTTGCAATGAAGTTATACAACTATTTTTGAGTATTGATGAAGGTTTTCTACTTTTATTGGACATAGTCGTAGAGATAGTTGAAGCATCAGGGTTAAAATCTTCACGACCTTCGTCAGGTTTTTTATAAGCAACATATTTTTCAATGCTCATGAATTTTTTATTTTTTCAAATTTTTGATCTTTAACGGACGTTCTTTTTCTGTACTCATAACCAGACAACTTTTTTCTCGAATTTGAAATTTTATGTGACATGAGACAGAATATTTTTTAAGATAAAATTATTTCTACAATTTAAAAAAAAAAAATTTTAACAAAGTTCTCAAAACACATTCATAAAATTATTAAAGAAATAAAAAAAAAAGTAACTAAACTTACTGAAAATTAACAAAAAATAAAAACTTTTGCACTTCTTTATAAAAATTTTTTTGCAACTTTTCGAAATGACTCCTAGGGGAAATAACGCACAAATGATACAACAAATTACGATAGAAAATCGTGCGTTAATTAAGTAAATGTAGTAATTTTTTGTCTTCAAATTTAAAATCGTGTTTTTTTTTTTGCAAAGGTCGTTAAATCTTTTAATTTACTTTAAATTTTTAATATACTACTGGAAAATTAAAACTTGTGACTAATAAAATTCTCCGCCCCTATTTACTTGCCGCCCTCGTGCAACGCACGACCTCGCCCCTCCCCCCCCCCCCCTAAAAGCCGGCGCTGGTCATACCCCTATTAAACATATTTGCGTATTTCATTCTCCCTGAATGTCAGTTTAGAATAGAATTTTTTTTTTAATCAAATAAAGTTTAATAAAAAACTTAAAAAAAAAATTATTTGATTTTTAAATATTTAAATACAGCTCAATATTCTCTACAACGTAAAAAAAAAAAAAAATTTAAGTTTTTTGCGTAAAAAATAAATAATTAAAAACCTTAACTATTCCATTTGACCCTATTTTACTCTCACTCTATACTTTTACATTTTTCTAAATAAAAATTTTTTATTTTATAGTATATCTTTCTTGTTGTTTTTATTTGCCTTCTAATTTTGTATAAAAAATATAAATAGAAGAATTTATATCTTCGACATGTTTTGAATCTTTATAAATTCAAAATCTCTTTTAAATATTTAAAACAAATATAAATATATATTATGTATTGTATTGAATATGTATATATTACGATACGTATATGTATTGACTTGTAAGTTTTTTTTTAAAGATTTTTTCTTTTTTGTTGCAAACTTTATAATTTCTTTTTTACAAACATTTTAATTTTTTTTTTAAACTTTCTTAGTTTCACTCTTTTTAATAATATTAGAACTTGTTAAATTATATTTTTCTCTATTTCGCGAAGGGACTAGACGATAAGACATTTTTGACTTCTGTTTGCTCCATTCAGATTGTAATTCTATATATATTTATTAAATCTTAAGGATGAGTACATATTGACGAAAAAATAATAATAATAACCAAAATTCGATTAAAAACCCCTCCAATGTTAAAATGCCAAACTATTAATCACTACGGAACAATAGAAAATGAAAATAAAAATATATTTTCAATTCTATTGCGTTTTTCTTTTCGTTGTTACTGTTTAATAAAATTATATTTATTATAAAACAATCTTAAAACACTTAAAACACTTACTCTTTATTAAACTTTATTAAATTCTTTTTTTTTTTAAATACTCTTTTATTAAACTTTATTAATCGCTAATTAAATTTTAAAATTTCAAGTGGGTAAATTCTTATTCATCTAGAAATAATAAAAAAAATTTATACTTTTTTTTATACTCTTTTCAATGTCGGGTAAATTAAACATCTTACATTTAAATGTTCATTACTTTTTATATTTAAATGTAAATTTTTTCTTGCATTTAAATATTTCTTTCATAGAACATTTAAATATTAGATATTTTTTTCATAGAACATTTAAATGTTCAGTATTGCGTGCAACATTTAAATTTTTATTGTTTCTTGCAAGGAACATTTAACTGTTTAGTATTTGTTGCATCGAACATTTAAATGTTTAGTATTTCTTGCTAGGAACATTTAAATGTTCAGTATTTTTTGCATGGAACATTTAGACGTTCAGCATTTCTTGAATGGAACGTTAAAATCGAAATTTTTTATTTGAAAAATTTAAAATCACAAGCGTAATAAACTTCAAGAACATCAATAAATTAATTGAAGACTATGAAAAAAATTAAAATTTATAAAAAAATGAAATTGAACATTACTGTGGTTTTTATTCATGCATTCAATGAATTTTTTCAAAGTAAAAAAAAAATGGCTTCTATTCATCTAGTACTTCATATTTCATCATTTTTAAAAAAGTCGATGTGAATGACAAACTGGTATGATGCAGATTTTAAAAATGAAGATGTACTTTTGAAAAAACGAAAGAAAAAAAACAAACAAATATTTCGATTGTTGATCTTTTAGTTTTACGCAAGAATTCTTTTTCAAGGTTTCTTCGTAAGTATTCCATTTCTTCTCAACTCTTAGATTAAGTAAGTATTCGTTAAAATTTTGCATCCATTAAAGTCAGATATGAATGTAATCAAAATAATCAAAAACTTTGTAAACTTAAATCCCATAAATATAGTCGTAAATATGCGTTAGCAACAAATCCTACAAAAACATTAGTTTCATTAATGTTTTTTTTTGTTAATCAAAAAAAAAAGCACCATTTATTTATATATATATATATATATATATATATATATATATATATATATATATATATATATATATATATATATATATATATATATATATATATATATTTGAATATATTTTTTTAAATATAGATTTAAAAAAATTCGAGTTAGAGCCGTTTTTTTAAACAATGGAAGATGATTTTTTTGCAATGGAGAAATACAGTTTGCCGAAAAACGAATGCATTTTTGCAAAAGATAAATATAACTTACCAAACGGTGAATCGTTACCAAAAGATATAGTAAGAGATGTAGAAAAAGTATTCTACGAGTTTAATACTAAAGTAAGAAGTAGCTTTATGTGGTTTTTATACAAAGATATATTTGATATTTTTATTTAAAAAGTTTGAAGATTTATTTTATTCATATATTTGACGAGCACAATACCTAACAGATTGGCATTGATATATATATATATATATATATATATATATATATATATATATATATATATATATATATATATATATATATATATATATATATATATATATATATATATATATATATATATATATATATATATATATATATATAGGGTAGAGCAGGGCATATAGGGACACTTAAGAAACAAATGCTTGTTGCGGATAAACTAATCATAGTTAACACTGTTTTTTATAAATTTTCTGAAATTCATTGATATAAGAATATTTAAAAACAAAAAAATTCTAAAATTAAGTTATGAAAATCAAAGGAACGAACCTCTAGACTAGCAAAACTTTTATATTTTGCAAGTGAGTGGGGCAAAACGGGACAGTTAAAAAGCAGCAGTTATTCGTCAATTGTAAAGCTTTAAAAATGATGAAAAATGAAGGCTATCTATCGTCTAAATATGTTTAGACATTAAGTTCTCAAAAAAGTAACATACCCATAGTAACTACACGCCCATACACCCAAACACCACAAAAAAGAAATAAAAGCTGAAATAAAAATTTTTTTCGTGCGTTTTATTATAAAATACCTCCGCTCTATTCTGACCTATATACTAATAAATTGGTAACTACTACTAAAGAAAAATTTTTATGAATCACATAAACCACACATACTGAAACTGTTCGGTAACATTTTGATGAGCTGGCATATTAGCAATATGCCAATGTAGAGCAAACTTAAATATGTCATATGTAGCAGTAGCTTTTCTAATTTTATGTTTCTGTTTACTCACAATTAAAACTGAATTTCATCCCGTTTGGGATGATTGATCTTTCTAATATAATTTCCTACTTTTTTGTTTATATTAAACACTAATAATAATCGAAGTTATGTTATAAAAATAAATATAAAAAGAATTTTTTTGAATTTATTGCTAAAATTGATTTTCTAAATTAAAGAAAATATATTTTAGATTAAAAATAAAATCATTAAACTGTAAACAGCATCGCGAAATGCTAGTAATATACTCAATTATATAAATACTTTTGTTGTCCCGATATGCCGCACAAAAGTCATTTTACTGAAATTAATACTATTCAAAAAGTTCAATTCCAGACAAAACCAGATTCTAAAAGAGGATAAAAAATACTGAAAAAAATAAACTTTTTATAAATAAAGCAAATTCGCAAGAATTCCAGATAAATCTTTTGTCGCTGTATCGCTTAAGAAAGTACGCAAATTTTGTTTTTCGCAAACTTACTGATGCATTTTGGTACTTTTAATGCGTTTTGGTATTTCTAAATTTAATTTTGTTTTTACAATAATTTAAAACATTTTATCGAAAAAAAATTTTTTGAAAAAAATTATTTTTTGCTGAGATATAAGGCTTCAGGCATAACTCTCCCGTTATGCCCCGCTCTACCCTATATATATATCAATGTCAATCTATTAGGTATTGTGCTCGTTAAACTATATGAATAAAATAAATCTTCAAACTTTATATATATATATATATATATATATATATATATATATATATATATATATATATATATATACATATATATGTATAGAGCCGTCCCGAGGGGGTGCGTAGGGGGCTGTCTAGCCTCCTACGCATACTATTGCCCCCCCCCCCCCCTAATAAAATCTCTTCGGGACGGCATAACAGTTGAAGCTTTTATACAATAAAATTTTTAGTTAACCTGTTCTGATTAAGGAATCAAAGTGTTCCAATTTAGGGAGCCAGTTGCCTTGATTGGAACAAAATGGTACCTTTACAAAAACAAATTTATTTCCAATAACAGTACAATCAATTAAGTCAATTTTAAGGTTAAAAGTATAGTAGCGATGTCTGTTTGTATTAATCAAATCATAAATGTTTTCAAAGTTAAGCCATCTTTGGTTAATAAATGTATATTTATAAAGTGTTACAATTAAGGCAACTCTCCCGTACAAAAAAAAGTTTTACAAACGCCGCGATTCACTTTCAGTAGATGGTGCTACTTGCTTATTTGTTGAGGATCGAAAAAAGACGTTTCTAATTTCAATCTTCGTTGTTTAGAATCCATGTTTAAAGATTCATTTAATATTTTCGATTTAATATCCTGGAAATGAACTCGAAGACCATAAAAATAAACAGCACAATCTGTGGTTGTTAACTTTTCTGACTTTGTAATGACAACCACAATAACAATGTTCGCTGGGGATTTGTGCCGTAATTTTTGAAATTAGGCTTCCTTTTACTACCTATTTACAATTCACATTACGAGATTGAGTCATCAAGCTCGTATTGTGACTCGTCAATATTATATGTTATGGTTGTTATGGATTTTATAACTTGACTGACATAACATCTGAAAATAATGATTGTCATTATCTATATCAAACAAATTTCTTACAAAAAACCAGTCATTGGAGTATTTGACATTTTAAATAATGCAGCAAACGTATTTTTTTTTGTGATTGTTAGAATATAAAAATACTAGTAAAAGGCTCTCTGCAATTTGAAATCAGTTTACAATACCTATATAGTATATGTACAAGGTTTACTTTTTTTTCTGTATAAATTAATAAGGCACATTCAATATTTTTGAAAGCATCTGTATGTCTGTATGTATAAAGTTTGTTTAAATCTTCAATTTTGCATTGCCTTTTAATAAGTACGTTCAGGTTAGAATATATCTAGTTTCGTATCGTCAACTAAAAAACTTACAACATGACCTTTAAAAGTTCTTGCCACAGCTTTTCTACAAAGATTCAGTGTTAACTTGGTAAAAATTTCCTTTAATGGTAGTTCCTGCTATGAGTTTCAATGCTTATGAGAGCTTTTTTTAATTTTTTTATAAACTGTTTTTAATTGTGATGTGATATGCATTATGTAGCCTACCCACTTTAGGCAATTTAGGACGAAAAATACCAATTAAAATCATGATTCATTTCACACATTAAAATACTTTTTCTATTCACGTTATATTTTAAACAATATTGTTTATTAAGTTTTATATTTCAATTGAACGCAACCTTTTTGCATTGCAAAACTTAACTAATCCTTTTATATACAGTAGCGTCTAAAAATTTATAAACAGGCTTAAAAATAAATTTTTATTATTTTTTATTTTATTTGATATTTTAATATTTTAGTACATACTTCACTAAAGCCAACATATTATTATAAATATTTTTATGCCGTTATCTTTCATGAATGAAAGTTGTTACATGAAATAGTTTTGGGAAAACCGTGTTTACAAATACTACATCGGATCACACCGAACCATACCGGACTAAACCGGACCAGAGGCAATTCAAAATGAGGGGTGGGGAGGACGTGGGGGTAGAAAATTTTTAAGAAGTACCAACAGGATCCTTAAAATCCTTTGCAACACCTCCTTTTTCCCCCGTAAGGTTGCCTCTACACTGGACCACACTGCAGTATAAAAAAATTGTATTAGCAGAGGAAATAATGCGTATATCATATTTTTGATCCAAATATGCAACAAAATTTCATTTAAAAATTAGGTTTTTAAAAATTACGTAATTTTTATTGCGTATCTACGCGTAAAGCTACATAATTTTTTGTTGCAACGGTTTCTAAAAACATTTTTTAAAGTTGACATTTGTCCGACCTGACGGTAAAAGTTAAATAATAATATTATTATTAAATAAAATATATTATTCTGGTATGCTTATGCAAAAATTTTTAAGAGGCTCATAAACATTCTTCAATTTACAAAAACGTAGAGTTTCTTTTATATCTTGTAAGAAAACGTTTTTCTATTGTAACACATATATATTTTTGGCTTGCAAAAAAAAAACAAAAAAAAACAAACAATACAACACAATCAAACAAGTTCGAGAGTTCAGGTATTAATAGAATTATGCTCAAATTAAGCAAAACATGTGTATTTAAGAGTAAGCCTCAACAAAATACTTATTGTTTGCTTATTTTATTTTTAATAAAATTTGAGTCTTGATAAGGTTATAAGGTTATACTTATTAAAAAAAGCCAACTTATGTCGCTGTTGGTCAATTAAAAAGGTAAATTTAACTATTTTTAGTCACACGTTTTTGAAACTTTTATAATAATGAAATAAATAAATAAATGTTGTATAATTTAATATTTTATATTATTTTCTAAAATGGATCGTCTTTGCAAGAAAGCCACAAATAAAGGAGAAAAGAAAAAGGTACAGACTAATCCTAAAAGGCTGCCATTTATTCTAAATTACAATAGCAATCAGTTGCCAATGAACAAACTCCCCAGCATCGAAAGTGTGTTAAGATATATACAATTTGTCAAAACTTCTAGGTCTTTGAAGTTTATATATACTAAGCCTGTTCTAGCTTGTTTTCAAAGGTTTCTAGGCAAAGATCTTATCTGCAAGGGTGGATTTGCAAGATCCTAACCATAGATATGTCACTTAACTTGTAATAGATGCGTGGAACAAAGCTTGTTTTTAGAGAACTCATCATTTTAATTTTCATTGAAAGAGATTCAACAAGATTGAAGATCTAGGTAAAAATCACTTGCTGAAAAAAAAAAGGATAATAAAGATTTAATTGCACAAATGATAAAGTTATTTTAATTAAAAGGAGACCAGATAAAACAAGGCTGTAATGCAAACTTTGAGGGGAAAAAGATTTGTTCTGCACTTCGACAGCAAAAATATCAAAGAGATTGAGAAGAATCTAAATAATAATGTTACTGTTGAAAGAATTTCTGTTAGTGTTTCTTCATCAGATACTGATAACACACACATGATATCTTCCTTGGAGATTTAAGATTACACCAGGAAGATGTAACCTTAAAACTCTCTTAGAGTTTTACAAAATGGTTGACCAGATCGTTTTTTTCAGATATTGCAATATGTAGTGACAACACTGCTTCTTACACTGAAGTATTGTTGGTGCT